TATATATATATATATATATATATATATATATATATATATATATATATATATTCTAGTCTTAGGTCATAAAGATGGCTGAAGCTTCAAAAATTGCAAACCTAATTTTCTAATGACTTCTACAGCCGGAGCCAGAATTTCGACCGCCAATGTCTGAAGTCGTCCAACAACTGGTTCGGTTGGTGCAAAGGGCAAGTGCAGTCAAGAGGCGCTCAGGAGATGAGCTCGGATTTTCATACAGGGTGCCCGAGCAGGACTCCAGTATGACAGACATATCCTTCTAAATGGAAGATTCATTCTTGCGAACATGTAGTTCCTTGAGAACATTGAGAGGCCAAGCATATAAAGCAAAATGCTGTTCTGCAACCATACCATCTTATGGTTGCAGATGATACACCCAAAAGCGCAGTGGTTCATGAGCATCTGAGGAAATGGAAGAATAATCTCATTTTGATCTCCATTTTTATGCTGAAGAAAATTTTCGCTTGCGGCTAATCTTCAGTTCATGCTGGATCTATGACCCTATATGCCCTTGTATATGTATTATAGCATAATGCATTCATTTATTGACAAAAAAAAAAGAACTTCCAGAATTTAATGTACTCATTTCGATGACTGTTCAAATGCATAGAAGAGAGAACTTTTGTATTCTACCTTAGCTTGTAATCACTTCACTTTCTGCTGTGTCTGGCTGCAAGAAGAATCTTGTTTTGGAAGTGAAATCCATCAAAGAAACTTGCATTACATTTAGATTACAGTGGCTTATCATATGAAGGCACAAGAGGTATGTTTATCTAAAAGCAGGCAGAAGTTTGAAATGTTTGATATCCAGCAAAGTTTTCTGTGTTCACATTTTTGTTCTCTGTAGTTGGTGGATGAGACTGCATATGGATAAGGTATTGAAATATATATATATATATATATATATATATATATATATACACACATTTGTGGAAAATGATCCCAAATCATCATCAGAAATTAGTAACAAAATTGCTTGATCATCATTTAAAACCAGTGGCAGAGGGTTGTCAAGGAAAAAATGATTCTGTTTATCCCTATCATTGCTTGGCATCTGTGACAGAGTGCCATCGAAGCCATGCAAGATTGGTCGTATGGTATCTCAGCTTGCAGGACCTTGCAACCAGAAAAGAACAGGAGAACATTTCAATCACATCACTCACAAAGGACTCACTGCTGAACCATGAAACTTGTATGTTTCTCTCTTTCTCTCTCTCTTTCTGTGTTGCTTTTACCTTCACTGTTTCTGTAGCTCTAATGTGTCTTATACCCAGTAAAACATATCCTCGTCCCTACAAATGGCAACGAGGAAATAAAGGGCTCAAAAAACCAGAACCTGTTTCCTATGTGTCTGCGTGTGTTGTTTGCATGCAGAAGCTTGTCATCGTCTCTCCGGCTGAGAAAACCTCGCGAACACTCCGACCATCTGCGCCGTGTTGTACGTGCACGCCTCCGTCTGCATGTAGTTCCCCCTCACGTCCCTGAACTCGTCCTTGGCGCCCGGGCCGCCGACGATGGCGCCGACGAGCACGTTGGGGTTCGGCATTTGCCGGCCGAACCACGCGTCGTAGCCCTGGGCGCAGCCGACGAAGGACTTGTCCTCCTTGTAAGGCACGGTGGAAGCCGCTCGGTGGTGCACCCTGGTGGGGTACCGGGGCCCGAAGCCCACCATGTAGCTGATGCCCATTGGGTTGGAGCCGAGGACGTAGTCCAACTGGGCCTTGGCGAAGGAGAGCACTTCCTGCGGGCTGAGCGAACCCCGGGGACAGTGCAGATCTTCGTGGGCCAGCGCGAGCTGGTCGGAGAAAACGATGAGGAGGAAGGCGGCGCCGGCCACGTACTGCATGTTGTTCCACCGGCGGACGAAGAGGAGGCCACCAGGGGTGCGGCGCACGTTGCTGTCGTTGCTGCTCATGCCGAGGCAGGAGCACAAGTAATGCTCTGCTTTAGATCGGTACTGCTGCAGTGTGTTTCTTTGCTGGTCTTGAACACGTCCTCCGCCTCCTTCCATCAGCAGCTGATACAAAAGCCAAGGATTTGTCACTACTACGAGTCATTTCAATGCTTCTTGTTAGGATCGATTCTGACGGGGAGAGCAGCTGTGAAGTATTGATCTTGTTCTTCCATTAATCTCATTCATTAGAACTGTTCCACAAAGCCATGGGATCTTCAAAGACTATGCAAAGGCCAATTCTGTAGAGCAACTTCCTCTTCATTGTTAGAAAGTTGGAGGTCTCAGGTTGGTCAGAGTGGATCGCCATTGACGAGTGATTCAAACCTACTTGTGCTACAAGTTCTGACGAATACAGAGACCTACGTCTGACCATTGCATGGTCAGCATTAGTCTACAGGTCAATTGTCGGTTGACTGAGCCACCGGGCTTCTATCCCTTTCTCTCACCGTATAGCAACTCCCTCAGCTATTGGTGTCCGCAATGAGTCAATAGAGCGAACCTCGTCGGAAACACGTCATGACTCTCTCTCTCTTTCTAGATTTAGTTGAGAATCGACTACATCATCTCTCATCTACCCCTCCAAATAAGTCTTCTCCCAACTAAATGAATTCCCACGATAATTTCATCAGTTCTATGTCAGTCTAAGCGCGTTTAGGTTGAGAGATGACGGTGAGGAGGTCAATAAAGAAAGGTGTGAGCAGGAGAAGAGGCACGAAAAGTCTTGCCTTGGACGCAAGAATTTGAACGCCGGCGTATTTGATGTCCCAGCTGAACTCTGAAATGGCCCATGTGGCCCCGCCCAACGTGTACGCTTTGTCGACCGCGTACTGCAAGTAATACTCTCTTCCCGTCGCCCGGTGGAGCCACAGCGCCGCCCACAGCAGCTCGTCGCCGTAGCCGCTCAGCGATGGGTAGTAGCTCTTCGCCGCCGGCACGCTGAGATGGTAGCGGCCTCTGTACTTGTTCCCGAACTCGAACAGCTGCAATGCCAAATGATGCGTTCTGTTTATAGCGGGAGACTGGTGATGCTGAGCGCGTTGGTGTGTGTGGTTGCGTGGAACCCCACCTGTTGGGCGTGACGCAGTAGGAGGTGAGAGTAGCGTGGGTTGGTCTTCTTGAACACGATGGACGCGGCCGCCATGGCTGCTGCTGTCTCTCCTGCTAGCTCTGATCCCGGGTGCTCCGCGTCGATCTTGTACGCTTGTCTCGACGTGGTCATGTCTTCTGGCCTTTGCCAACAGTAGTGGTCGGTGTCGCCGTCTCCGACCTAATCGACGAAGAAGAAGAGAACCGATGGTTAATGTGGATCGGCATAATGACATGAAGTTGATGAACAGCGCAATGCCATGCAAGATCTTAATACCTCGGCCCAGAGGACGTTGGGGTGAGTGTGGGCTTTGATGAAGTAATCAGTCCCCCATTTGATCGCCTCCAACGAGTGCTCGAACTCCCCGGCCGCCGCGATCGCATCCCCGTTCTCCATGACACCCCAAGACAACATGGTTATGGTGAAAGCCATCGGCAGGCCGAACTTTACGTGGTCTCCTGCGTCGTAGTATCCTCCAACCAAATCAACCTGTTCTCAGAAAGGAACCGATGAGATGAAGATACCGAAGAAGAAGAACAAGACGAATAAGACGCGCTGACTAACTCCTTGTTCGAGGCCATCGGTGAGGCCGGAGTGACCGCGCCAGGTGATGCGCTGGTGGTAAGGAAGATGGCCGGAGCGCTGCGCCTCGAAGTAGAGCAGGCTCTTCGACAGGGCCTCGCGGTAGTCGTATGCAGCCCCGGTGGCGGCAGGGAGAAGGAGAATTACGAACGAGATCGGCAGGATCCTAAAGGTTTTGACAACATGACTCCCAAGCATCTTCCTTCCGTCCCCACAAACATACGAGGAAGAGAGAGCGAGAGAGAGAGAGAGAGAGAGAGAGAGAGAGAGAGAGGAAGGTGCTGATTAATCTTTGGGGCTCACAAATACCTACTACTAATACACATGTGGGAGTCACATGGAAAGTGAGTCCCACCTTCCCTAACCCATGACTCCATTAAGGTCCACACAGAATCAATGCATTATTTGGAGTGGGAGTTTAATACTTACCATCATAAGGTTGGATGCATCTGGAAACAAGCAACTCACCCACTCTGTCCTGCCTTCCAAGGACTCTCCTTTCCAAATCTTTGGGTTAATTGTCTGCCTGCCTCGTCTGGCAAACCACAGAGTGGTCTCTGCTAGTCTTTCAGATGGGTGCACCACAAACGGGTGCATGCATGCAGAAACAAACCATCTCCTTCCCAGAGTTACTGTTCTTGACCCTAAAACAGTAACACTATATGGGTTGTAAGGACGAGGATATTAAGCAATCCATCTCCTTTGGTAAGCTGCAATGATTACACCAACACAATCCATAATTATCTTTGACAAGCGATTAGATTTGGTGTTTACACTCTGCATGCAGAAACCGCAGCCACGTCCTTCTATCGCGCTCACTGCTTGCCCTTTAAATTTTGCGCCGTCTTTTCTGGGGAGGCTGTCTTATCCATGCATCCAAGCAAGCATCCTCCCCTGTTGTGTTGTATCTGCTCTCTGCAAACTGTGCGATTGCGCTTTGAGCAGCTGCGATCATTCCGACGAACACATGCAAAGCAGCAGCTGAGCAGGCTTCAGCTGGATGGATACCTTCCGTGGTTGAGCATTTTGTTGTTCTCTGGTCATATAGGATCAGAGAACGCCATGGATCAGAATCACTTTCTCGTGTATCTTTCGGCAAATGTTATCATAATGTAGCTCTGCACAAGAAGAAGAAGAAGAAGAAGAAGAAGAAGAAGAAGAAACATCTCCGGATGAGTTGACTTCAACTTTTGTCTTCATTCAGAGTTGTCGAAGTAGACTCCGACCACAAAAAGTTGGTATGACAGATGTGGCAGTATATACAATGTAGAACAAAATTTCCTCTGGATTATACGAAGCTTTGTTGGAAGAGAAACTAAGAACAAATAGCAGCCACAAGAGGGTACGTGGAGGAGAGAAGAAGGATTAAAGTAATCCAAAGTCACAGCATATTCTGTGGGATGTACTTTATGCCTTTCCAGTTCTCGTTTGCTTTCTCGTATGGCATCCCTTTCGGTTCTACGAGATCTTTCATGGTGAACTAAGTAGGATTGGTGTCGCAGCTCAACGTAAGCCTACAGTCCAACGGCAATGTCACAAGCTCTGTTGTCACCGAGGAGGACCACTGCAGAGAATTGCTGCTGAGTCACACTCGATCCTCCACCACAATCTCTCTGTGCTTCCTAGAAGTAGGTGAAATTGGAAAGCAAGAAGGCATGATCCAAGGAATGGAAAACCAGACCTCAAACCCATTGTTAGCGTTGTCATCGTCACCACTAAGAGAAGAGAAGACAAACGTACTCGGTCGTCTGTCGTACCGCTGCCTTCCTTTTAACTGTTCATCCATTCATTCGTCGGTCCAAGATTTCAGAAGATTCTCCAAACAGAGCAGCGAAGCCGCGGGGAGAATATTACGGTATATTCTCTTGTCGATGGTCAAGCAAGCGCTCGCTGTGGCGGTGGGGGAGGAGGAGGTGGTGCCGGAGGCGGAACCCGCTCACCCTCTTCCTCCTCCTCCGACCGCCGCGGGGGCGGCGGTGCTGGTGCCGCCGCTCAACTTCGCGATGGTGGACTATGACGTGTTCCGCTCGGGCTTCCCAGACGCCGCCAACTTCGGCTTCCTGCGCGCGCTCCACCTCCGCTCCGTCCTGTGCGTGAAGCTCCTCCCTCTCTTCCTTGATCCCGGAAAGATCGCTTCTTTGGTTGCTCAAAAGCGTCCTTTTTCTCTTGTGGGTTTTGATGCCTCTGGTTTGGGCTGCAGGTGTCTTTGCCCGGAGCCATACCCGGACGCCAACCTCGATTTCCTTCGGGCCAACGGAATCAGGCTTTTCCAGTTCGGGATCGACGGGTACAAGGTGCGATCTTGATGCCCAGTTTCCTCCTAATCCATCAACCAAAATGCCTGCTTCTTCTTGCTTATGATTCTGGATGTACTGCTGGTGTGCTAATCCACGGAGTAGGCGCAGGTGAAGACATGTGAAGCCTCTCTTCTCTGTCATGACCTCTGTGCTATCTGGTCTACTCAGTAGCTTATCCATGCCCACTGATCATAAATTGGTCCGAGAGCTACTCTCTTCTATCATTCTCTCTTAGACACTTGCATCTTTGTCAGTATTAGATGTAGCCATCAGTTAGGTTGGTGATAGGCTCCAATAGTTCATCAGATTATTCATGACATATCCACCATTACTATTTGTTGCTTCTCACTTCCCCTTTTCCTTCTCTTTGAGCAAATTTTGATGGCAAGTTACCATTTGGTACCATTAAAGCATTACTGCCTGCTTCCTCTGTGTCTTTCAACAATCTCCAAAACTTATTTCCCAAAGCATAAAACAACAGAAGGACTCTATGATGGTCCTCCTTTTCAGATAAAAGCCTTTAACAGCTGAGAAGCCATGTACAGAAACTTTTCTTGTTTGTCATTTTTATGTCTTCTCTTTTCCATAAAAGACTGAGTTAAGATGCTCTATTTATAAGATTCAAGACACAGAAAACTAAAAGGGTTCATTACGATTGAGAAGTTATATTGGATTTTGTATCGTAAAATAAACTGTTGAGAAATGTGAATTATAAATTTTGCAGAAAGTATTACAGAATCATAAACAAATTGTATGAATTTTTATTTTCCTGAGCAACAAATCAAAATGTCTTGTTGGCATAGTTAAGTCATGTAAATGTTAATTGTCTGTTGTCATCGAATTTAGTCAATGAAAATTATTCTTCTCATGCTCTCCACTGGTGAAGCTAATCTGTTGTGTTCATGCTCCTTGATTTATAACTTTAAAAGATTAAATTTATGTGTTATTTCCATTTTTTGCTCTAGAAATTTGTCTTCTAGACAAGCAAACACTTGAACAGAACTTTGATTCTAAGAAAAAAGTTCATCTCCACTCTGATGAAAGAAGTTACCCCTGAGTTTTAACATCACTAAAAAAAGGTACAAACCTATCTGATTCGTGATGCTTGATGAGGCAGTAATGATCATGAAGTCTAATTGCTCAGCATCAACTAGACTATTAAACCACTGAGTAGCTTTTGCTGTGATTCACTTCTGGCAGCCAGATTGATGATCCAAAGGTGAGGCTTGAGTTTTCAGCAATAAAGTGCTGCTGCAAATCTAGAAAATGTTCTAGTAATTGGAGTGTTTAGTTCATGAAAATGGTGGTTGTAGTGCTGCAACTCCGATCAAGAGGGCTTCTCAAACCCATCACCAGGCATTGTAACCAGCAACCATGTAACTCATGGTTGGTACTGGTTGCTTAAGGCAATTGAGGGTAGTTGGACAAAAGGAGGGTATAGATCAATACTCATGACTAGGTTATGAATCATACTGGCTGACTAAATTCTAGCTTAATGGATTTAATGTGTTAGGATACATTTCAATAATCTAAGATGGAACTATGATTAGCAGCAGTAGGAAGTAAATGCATTGAAGGTGTATCTCTACAACCTTGAAGATAACTTCTTAGACAAGTACATTTGTTTTCATAATAATATGTAAAATTTACAATTTTAGTTCAGCCTTCTCAATTAGATCTATCTTGCACTCAGTGGTATATTAAAACCATGAACTTGGCATGCAACTATGACAATGTTCAGAGTAATTTAACAGTATTTAATTTTCTGTCATCCTTTTAACTCTGAGAATAATGATAGGAGCATCACCAGTCATCTTGGCTAAAACTGTCTGTTTAAGCTACTCTGTGAATACTATTAAGAGCCACTTCCTCTGCAGGAACCCTTTGCCAACATTCCAGAAGATACAATTCGTGAAGCACTCAAAGTAGTTCTTGGTATCAAATGTTCATAAACTGCTTTTCTTAGATCTGTCAAACATCATTTGGACTTCATCTGCTTAATCGTTTCATGAACTGTAACTTTGAATTGTAGATATCAGAAACCACCCACTCCTTATCCATTGCAACCGAGGAAAGGTAAAACTCATCATACTCTCTCAGATCATTCTCAGTACTTGCAAACATAGTCATGAAGTATCATAATCTTCAGTCTGTCTGCTTTCAGCATCGAACTGGTTGTGTCGTTGGATGTCTAAGAAAACTGCAGCGGTGGTGCCTTGCTTCAATATTCGACGAGTACCGATGCTTTGCCGCTGCAAAAGCAAGAGTTTCCGATCAAATGTTTATGGAGCAATTCGATATCTCAAGCTTCAAACTTTCTCAGGCCTCATTTTCAAGTTAAAGGATTCTTTTTACTGAATGGATGACAATGTGTTGCGATACAAATCTTTGTCTTCCTACTATAAGTATCGGACAGACAGTCTACTGCCTGGAGTATCAAGCTTCATTGTCAGCTCTTACTTTGCCTTGAAGGAAGGTGTAAATGTCAGTCCACTTCATTGATGTTGTCCAAGAACTGGAAGAGTGTGTCCAGTCTCATTATTCTGATTCAAATGCAAACTTGTTTCCAGTACAAATTAATGCAAAAGATCCATGAACAAGAAGCTGCAGTCATCATCATGGTAGATTCCACCCTCTTCTTCCTGGAGCCTGATCCCATCCTGGAACAAGTTAGCTTAAGATGTGAGCATGGATTCGAGATCATGATCTCATATGCTTCGCTCGTCAGTGGACATCAGCAGCAGGGATGGACGAGAAGGAAATCAAGCATTTACTTCTTCCTTGCAGAGAAAAGAGGATGCACTGGAACATCCAGAACAAGAATCGATGACTGCCGGCCACAATCTCTGACTGCACATCCATGTTGCGGTATATTCGTGGATGGATAAATCCATACTTATCTTGATGGACCACCCAATCCTCTGCGGAGAATCTCTCCCACATTGCATGCACAAAGTGGCCCTATTCAGCGTATCTTAAATATGGATCCTCAGCATCCCTGCAAAGATTTCCTGAGATATGTTAAAGAAAGAAACGCTTCGTGACATCTGCGTTGCTGTTTCGAGGGAAATGCCATTGGTCAACTTAAACGTGGTCAAAATCCTGACGTATTTTGACCCAATATACTGAAAACATTGACCCAAGTTCAGGTGATCCCTCTCGGAGATCTTGAACCGTCGGATTACGGTGTCCCGTAGATCCAACGGTGACCGTGGCGCCGTAGCCTGACGCACCCGCCTGGTTACTGTTCGTGGGCCCCAGAAGCGTGCTGGGGTTTCTGAGTTCTTTTCGAGGAGCCGATCCCGGCGAGGACCGGTGACCGCCTTGTAGATCGGTCGAACACCAAACAGCAACGTTGTAGTCACGTCAGAGCCTCAAACTTGGAAGACGACGAACCATTACTGTCCACGTGTAAAAAACAACAGCCGATCAAAACCAAGGTGTCCAGAGGCCGTAAGCTCGGTAGCACTGGCACGGATACCCTGTCGTGGCCAATCCAGGAGACAGGAAACATGGCCTCTCAGAATCCCTGGGCTCAGTAAGCAAGTGGGCCCGAGACTTCCGTCAAGGTGAAGAATCCTGTTTCCTGAATGAATGGCACTCCCGGTTGCCTCAGGCACGTGATTACGACAGTTCTTGCTTCTATTAATCTCGTCCGATAAGATGGTGTTAATTATCATTAAATAAGTAAAGCATCCCTCAATAACTATTAATAGAATTAAGGCCTTTCCCGTCTTAAAAATTAATTTCTAGGATCCACTAATTAATGAACAAAATACACTACATAATAATAAACACATTTCCCCATTAAATTTCTCTTTTCCTCCGATTCCTTCAGCGTATCGATTTGGTAAATTAAAACGAAAGCAGCCAAGAGAGAGAGAGAGAGAGAGAGAGAGAGAGTAACAAATAGAACCGAAGATTTGATTCGATGCATCATCCAGAGATCTAAATTTTGTCGGAAAGCTGCTCGTGGGAATTCCTTCTGCGTCCAATTTCACGCTTTGGGAGTGGAATCGTTGATTGGAATTAGGGCGGACGGGGATCGAGTTGAGGAGTTTGAAGGGGGGGGGGGAAGGAGTTGATTTATCTTTGTTGGCTTTGATCGGTTGATCTTGGGTTTCGCTCGATCACCACTCCGATGCCCGGCGCTAGGCACAATGCTCTCTCCGATTCCTCTTCCAATGCGTCGCCGGGTAAACTTGAAGGTCGGTTCTGTCCCGGTTCAATCCCCTCTGGTTTTTTTTTTTTTTTTTTTTTCTGCTGTGGTGTTGCTTTTGATCAATCTGTTGTTGATTGCTTTTTCGGATTAAAAAAGACTCCTTTTTATTCATGAGACATGCAAAGAATCGATCAACGAAGCAGAGTGTGATAAAAAGGGAAACTTGATGGGTTTTGATGGTTCTTGATGGCAGTCACCATGAGTCGTTTAAATATTGAGGATGAGGATGGTCGGGAGGGTGCTGATGGGCAGCCGAATCCATATCCTGACCGGCCTGGAGAACCTAACTGCAGTTTCTATTTGAGGACCGGCTTATGCAGTTATGGAAGCAAGTGCAAGTACAACCATCCTAACATCACTGCTAAGGTGAGAGCAATTGGACTCCTGTTGATAGTGTTTTGTTCCTCCAGCTCAAGCTTCTTACCATCAATAGTGATTCTAGAGATGGATTATTTGGTTTTTGTTCTAACTCATTCTTCTGCTCCAGGAAACTCGGTGTAGAGATGAACTTCCCCCAAGAGATGGTCAACCTGACTGCCAGGTACATTTATCTTTGCCCAAAAAAATACCATAGTTTCATCCCTCATTTTGAGAACCACTGTAGTGCTGAGACATCTGTTTTATCTGTTAAGTTCAGTATTCCTGTTTTGGCACCATGGCCATAGAATTCAACACTAAAATGATGACCATAGTCTGCTGGCTTTATGCTATTAAGATGTGGCAGTAAGACTGCCAAAAAATGGTGTAATTTGTCTTTGGTTGTTTTGCCACTGCTTCTATGATAGCTTGGGTAAGAAATGAGGGAAGTCATTTTCCTACACAGTTCATAGTCTTTATTGGATACTAGTTATTATATTAAACTTTCAATTATTCAAGTTACTGGATATGTCTAAACTATTCTCATTATCGAAAAGTATATTTCTATTAAACCATGTTTGCTTTTCTAAAGCAAAATATTCCTCCTAAGATTTCATTCTCTCTAGAATGCTTCAATGATTTTGTGTTAGGAGCTTCTTTTTTCATGTGTACTTGCAGAAATAATTAAAACTACTTTGAAGTCGTACATTTTACAATGTTTTAGCTACAACTTCAAGTTACCAATACTTCTAAGAAAATTAATATAAAAATATCAGTTATGGAATATCTTACAAAATAAATATGCTTGGGGCTTCCAGTGGAACAAATCTAGTTTGCTAAACCAATAGTTTCTGTTGTGTCAAAAGACTCAAAACTACCATATATATTCAGTATGGTACAAGAGGATGTTTTAGTCTATCATGCTTTTGACATAAAAAACAGGCCTATGTCTGATTTTTTTATCTAAATGTTGGATTTCTCATCAGTTGGCTATAGCATCATATTGCAACTTCTCATTCTTGCCAAGATGCAAATAGCTAAGGATTAATGAGACCTGGCAAAATGATAGTGATCTTGTATATATTATCCTTCACGAACGCCTTTACAATGAATTTGTGCATAATGGGTGCTTGAATCAGCCTTAGGTAATTATATAATTCAACTCATTCTGAATTTTAACTCTGTAAGGTACAGCACAAGTCTTTCTAAAATGGGCGTACCTATTTGTTTGGAGATCATAATATATAAAGATCACCACATGAGCAAAATTCAATTCTACTGGAACTCATACCTATAGCTGTGCTAATGTCTTTTAACCAGTAGCATGTGTAGTGCAAATCAGACGTAGACCTTCCTAATCAGTTGCATTTATTTCTCATGATTCTATCACTAATCTATTATATAGCATATGATTTAATGATCTATATTTTGTGGTGACATTTGGTTTATTTGGATTTGCTGTTGTAGTTTTTCCTCAAAACAGGAACTTGTAAATTTGGAGCAACCTGTAAATATTATCATCCACAAGACAAGCATGATGCTCAATTATTTCAATTGAATGATTTGGGTTTACCAATTCGCAAGGTTCGACAAATTTTTTTATCTTGTGGTTATCAAATTCCTTAATTTTGAATAATGTGTTGATGAGACTTCTGTAACATGTTTATTTGATGTGGTTTCACAGGGTGAAAAATCTTGTCCATACTACATGAAAACTGGCTATTGTAAATTTGGAGTTGCCTGCAAGTTCAATCATCCTCAGCCTGTGAGTATCGGAACCATGTTTCCTATATCAGGCTCCTTGGTGTATGGATATACAGGATCTTCTGCACCAATAAGAGGACCATCTTTGATTGGACTTCCACTATGGCCTACGTTGAAGACCCCTTACATGACCAATCCTAGTATGCAAGGGTTCCCATCTTGCATGCCCCTTATATTTCCATCCACCCAAGCCACCGCACCTGTGCAGCAGGGTTGGACCAAATACACGGTAAGCAGCTATTAGTTAGAATTAGGAATTGAAATCCACTCGATTGCCTGCGTTGTTTATTTTAATGTTGATACATTAAGGTGTTATTTCTTATTAGCTCAGGACCGAGGCTTCGGATAAATTCTACATTGATGCTAAGTGATTCTCTTTAAATTTAACTAATGCTTTTAATATGACACACTTTTTAACTCCATGTGCATCTTTTTGTATTAGGAATTGAAATCCACTAGATTGCCTGCGTTGTTTATTTTAATGTTGATACATTGAGGTGTTATTTCTTATTAGCTCAGGACCGAGGCTTCGGATAAATTCTACATTGATGCTAAGTGATTCTCTTTAAATTTAACTAATGCTTTTAATATGACACTTTTTAACTCCATGTGCATCTTTTTGTTGTTATATGAAACACTTTATTTTAAAATTGAACTCTTTATATGGTATCAACATATTCATTTTTAAGATCAGATTATGATTACATGGTTTTTGTAATGTGCTGTCGTTAATACGAGTTACATTTTTCTGGAAACTTTAAATGTGCTCGAACTTTGTGGTATTAGCTCCTGACCGACATCTGAACTAAGTTCAACTGCCTGTCCTCTTCCTAGTATCATGTTGAAAAAACACACCCAACTACTAGATATATATATAAAGACCGCTTGATTGATCAGTTTGTGAAATAGCAGATAACAATGCTTATATAGATTTGCCTAGTCCATCTCTAATTAAAGATGTAACTTTGGGTGGATTGCGGCAATTAAAACACACAAACACACTAAACTGCTAGGACTCTGTCATTTGTGATTAATCAAGAAAGTTACATGAGATTTTCTATATAATTCTTCAAACAGGGCAGTGCGAGCATTCCTTCCAACAAGTCTCTTGGTTCTGATCACATACCCAACTCAAAGCATCATGCGGATCCAGGTTCAAGTATGGCAGTCATTTTTCCAGAGAGACCTGATCAACCAGAATGCCAATATTACATGAAAACAGGGGGCTGCAAATACGGTAGTTCTTGCAAGTACCATCACCCTAAAGAGAGGAACCAAGTAGCTGCATGCACTATTGGACCGTTTGGACTTCCTCTCAGACCAGTAATTAACTTTTTTCTCTTTAAAATCTTGGTGTTTATGCTTTTATTTACCGTAAAGTATCTGATGGTTTTCCTTGTTTATGTGCATGTACATCTGACGATCACGAAGGGTGAGCCTGCATGCACATTCTATGCTGCATACGGAAGCTGCAAATATGGTGCATCTTGTAAATTCGATCACCCATATGTGGTTGTATTCCCTCTTCCAGACTCATCAGTGATGCCTCCCCACCAAAGGGTTGCGAAATCTACATGGATGGCAGCAGATAGTTCATCCTGCAGTTTCCCAATAGCACCCGATGAGTTCAAATCTGTGAGAATTGGTGAGATGCAGGGTGTGGATAACAATGAGCATGGAAGTCCTTGTACACAAACATCTCCAACGCATACCACACCTCATTCAGAGTCATCCATAAATCAGTCGGATTAGAGGCAGCTTCACATCCGTTTTTGGCATGGCTCTAGGCTGGAAATTTTGGCATCTCGATTACCATTTTTGGTTATCATTCTCTTGACAAATTGGCAGTTGGAAGATGTATCTGAGAGGTGATGAGGAAGGAAACAGCGCACACAAATAAGTAGCTGGTGGTAATGTAAGATTTCTTTCTGTCTTTTTCATGGAGTGATGTCAGCGTTTTGAGAAGAGAACAATCATACGAGGAGAATGTCAAGTATTTACCATGTGAATCAAGCATTTTAGAATAATGTTTCTATGTTGATGTCATTGCAACTATAATTTGTTCTTATTTGGGAACTTTATTTATGCTTCTTTTTATCTTCACTCACATCAGCTTTTCTTTTCAGAATACAAACACCTTGGCATTCCATTTATGTTCTGTCTTAAGTATTTTGAATGCAAAATATGTCATATCATTGACATGATGTATAGTATAAGGGTGATTTTCTAGAAAAAGGACCCTCATTTTTTTGGTTTTTTTCTCAAATAATGATTATATTTTTTTATTTTTTTAAACAGTGCTCATAATTCGAAAAATATCCAAATTATTTTTTAAAACTTTTTCACCTATTTTGATCTGTTATAGTATTTTTGGCAGAGTGTTAAAACACTAGAAATGAGTCAAATAGAATCAAAATATGCTAAGACTCATTTGATATATCTATGATTTAAATAGGTATTTATAATAATTTAGGAACATCATCTAAATAGCAATAAAATAAAAAAATTAACTTGTTATAAAGACTGATGGTATGTGAAACCGTGGTGAACATACCGCTTGCCAGTTAAATGCCACTATGATCCCAAAGAATATGGGACGAATACTCCCGGTGTGCTTACCGGTTGCAAGTAAGATGAAAAGTGGTCCAAAAAATAATTTTTAGGCTTCAAATCATTAAATGTTCTATTTCTTATTCTCACCGCAGTGAGCAGCGCACACCCGTCAGTGAACCTACCGCTCACCACTGAGACGATACTATGTTCCACCCCCCAAAAAACCATCTATTAGCCAAGTTTACATGTCTTATTCTCACCTGCAGTTAGCAGAACCACAGCTTCGCTCGTTTCTAGCCACATGATCGGGTAACGCGGTACTCGAGTAATGAATGATATCTTGTCCCTTGCGGTGACAATAACTTCATCAAGGCTTAATGGTACTAAGAAATGGTAATATATTTTTATTCTTTTTATCATTTAACAATGTTAAGTTGAAAGCTAAAAATATCATACCAGCTAGTTTACTTAATAAAGATTTTATCAAGTTATTAATTTTTACCTCCACCATTCACCATTTGAAAAAATAAAATAAATTTTAATCCAAATTCTTAAAAAGCATTAAATAAATAATTAATTGTAGATGTGGTGACCACAGGTGAGACCACTGCCATGGGTGGACAATGAAGCACCCATCAAGTTGCGAGGCACTTGCCATGAGTGGGTGGATGCCAATTGATGTACCCCAACAAGGATGCCTTCTGTGGTACAAATAAATGTACCAAGAGAATCTTAATTCTCAATCATAAAAAACAACTAAAACTTGAGCATTCAACCAATCACCATATATAAGTATCTAAATCAGTAAAATTTTCCTAAGAAACAACATATATATATATATATATATATATATATATATATATATATATATATATATATACATATTTATATATAAATGTATCATAAGTGCCATAATGTCATCATTAACAAGAAATGTGCAATTTGTGTCAGATAAGAATTAGATTACACAAAGGAGAGACATGTTCTGCCATCCAAGACATCAAAGTCCCAGTGGATCTAAACTAGGCTTTTATCTCAATCTTTTGGGTTCAGAGATCCATGCTGCAGTCCAGCTAAAGAAACTTACTCACACTTCACAAGGTTTTACCTTTGTTTTGTTTTGCATGATTAATTTATCTCTCCCTCCTTCCAATATATCATGCATCTTTGACCATTGACCCATTCAATCTTAAGAAATAGGACTTGTATCAGATTTCAGCAGACATTTCAGAGAAAAATGATTCAACAAGTTGATGTGTTGCTTTTACCACAGGTGCCCTTGGATAATGTTGAACTATACATTTGATTCAAGGTAATCTGATGAATGGGTTCTTGAGATCTAAGAAGGAGAAATGCCATCCAAAGAGGGAGAGAGAAGCAAAATGGAGACCATACTTTTTGAACATACCAGCAACTCAGAACAATCAACATTAAATAGCAAAAGGGGGATAAAAGAGTTTGGCACAAAGCTGCCAAGGATTGAAGTGTAAGATTCTGAAACTACATGAAAAGATATGAAGAGAATGAAGCATTTAATTTGATAATTAAGAAAAAAAATCAAAAGTGAACTTTGACAGTACTAAGACATTATGATTAGAATTCAGAATATCTTGACATAGACAAAGTGAATGCTCTGCATAATTGACCAGCTTAAAAAAGTGCACTACTTTCCTAGACACATTCAGTTTCAGATTTTCTTTTTTTTCTGCAGGTGAGATCAATTAAAGTCAACATGACCATTATAATGAAGCACAAAAACCAATGACTTCCATGGCTTATGCAATGAGACATTGAAGTCCTTGTGTCTCACCATATGAAGTTAAACAGAAGCCACATGACCAAGTCTATGTATAATATGAATTGGTTGATGAAACAGAAGTCATATGAAGTGAAACATAGTGCATGGCAGATTCAGATACATAGGCACAAAGTAGTGTATCTACATTTACAGAGAACAGGCTTGTCCCCACACCAACACTAAAATTTAAAGAGCTACACTTTGGAGATGCCAACCCATGCTGTGAAACTAGAAAAAGTTGCTAAAAGATTAGCCTTCCGTCTTTTGGGAATGCTGAAGCACCAAATGCCCTCAGTCCCAGTGCTTAGTCTACTGTGTTTTCTTTATATCAAAGGCAAAAGAGGCTTAGAGATTCTGAAGGAAACTTTGCTTGTTACAAGTTGGTTAATTGATTCGAATCGTTCCTTGTTCAAATAATTCTGCAAAACTTGCAGATTCAGTCAGTTGGAGAACCAGGGACTCAAGTTTGACAATAATGGAGGAGAATAGATGCCACTGCAGGCGAAAAAGAGGAAGAAAAACTGTGGTTTTACTAGCCATTTGCTTCCTTAGCTTTTGAGCTGGCTATATGCTTGGCTTTACTTCAGCTTTATGATGCCAAATCATAGATATCAAAATGGCATTAGAATCATGCAACAAGTACTTGACAAAATCCATAAAAAGTTATGTAGCACAAGGGGGCTCAATTAACCGAGAATTGGCTTACACAAACATAACTCAACAGAGGAAAACCAATAGAAATCCCACATAGCACAAAGAGACACTAATAGTGATTGCCAAGAGATAAGCAGTGACATCAAGTGATAATATACCAAACTCTTCACAAACTAGTAACCAAAATATAACTCTCTTCATTTTTAGAGACATGTAATACACAGGGATACTAGTTAGAACACTATTCAAAAAGGAAAGCAAGGAACAGATTAATATAGATAGCATTAGTTGCTTTATTGTAGAAATAGTAATAATCTGTGAACAATGAAACTGTGTAGTGTGTCTCTCTGAATCTTAGATTGAAGTTTAAGCTTTTGTCAATGAATAAATTCCTCCACATTCATGAAAAATTTTCTCTTTTCTCTTCTATTCAAGCAATATAGAATTTCCTAATTGAATAGAAATTCCAGCAATGATGAATGATATTATGTCAAAACAAGCAAAATTTGGAAGGAGATAGAAGTCCTACAAGATAGAATTGAAGAGTAAGAATCATATGAGAGCAAGAAGAACTTGTAATAAACTTGAAATGCTTAAAGATCTTACCTCTTTTCAAATGAAGCATGTCTTTTGATGCTGAGAGAGTAAATTCTCAAACGAACAAGAGGAAAATGTACAAGTACTTCTCCCTATCAAAGAGAAGAAACCATTCAAGGAAAAAGGCAGGAGATGGCATCAAAACTGACCTTTCCAGCATCCAAAACTCCCTCCTTTTCCATCTCTCTGTCTACATTCATTCAATTCCAAGCTCCCCAAACTCTTTCCCCAATGAAGCTCATGAATCTCCTCACAGAGTTGCAACCTCCATTAGCGTTGTTGTTGCTGTTGCTGCCACCATTTACCTCCTCTCCATCATCATCACCGTCCTCGCCATCATCGTCCGCCAAGCGTCCTCCATCCAACCGGGAGAATCCCATCCCCACCACCTCCAAGCTCTCCTCCCCCCCAGCTGCCGCGACCTCCGCCGCCAAGCCAGCGTCCTTCCTCCCGCCGCGGCCGCTCCGCCTTCTCCTTCTGCTGCCACTCCCGCGGTCAAGCTCTCTGGCCTCCGAGCTCTCCTCCACGATGTCGATGATCCTGTGTATGACGTGTCGATTTGGCGACGCGTCCCACCGCGCCCAGAAGCTCTTGTAGCAACCGAAGCACCCGCAACCCAGCTCCGGCGGGTGAGCCCGCCGCCGCCGCCGCTCCCTCCACCTCCCCCCGCCGCCTCCTCCGGAGAGCAAGTACGCCAGGACCTCCTGCTCCGCCGCAGTCAGCGTCGCTGCCAGGGCCAGCACCGTCGCTGGGAGCGCAGCCAGGAGGTCCCGCGTCGCCGCTGCCCCCGTTAGTGGGGTTGGGTGGACCCTGCGCCCTTTCCCGTTATCCAGCTGCTTCATCTCCACACCAGCCAAAGAAGCCAGAGAGACGAAAGGAAAGAAAGAACACTTTTTGATCTCTCACTGCTAAAGAAAGCTGGGAACAAAAACGCTTCCTTTGGGTTCCTGAGGATTTGTGTGGGAGAACAGCCGACTGTTGGCTCTTATCGGCCTCTTGAGAAATACAGAACAGTAACTACAGATTTGCACCTCTTTTTGGGTGTCCCGGTGGAAGAAGACAAGAGAGAGAGAGAGAGAGAGAGAGAGAGAGACAGGGGGGTTTATGAGCACAAAAAATGGAATCTTGAGGGAGACTGGTGGGGAGTGGTCCAATCATATGTAAAGACCTTCGTGCAACAATGCTTTTGCATCAGGAGGAGAATGTGGAGTTCGGTCCTCCGTAACAATGCTACATGGTGTTGCAGAAGAAAATGGGAACCACAGGCTGAGACAGAAGCCATGGAGCTGTTCTGCCTCTCATCCATGGCCTATCAACATCAAGACTCTTATCCTATAGCAAGTCACTCTCTGTTATTCCCCCATCCCCATGGACGATGCTCTGTGTTCCAAAGAGTTTTGTACTATTGTGCCATCAAGTTTGTGCAATGAGGTGTCCTCTGAGGTCCACAGGTCAAGTTCTTGAGAGGGCCACTACTCGAAAAAATGAGTTGGATCAGGAGAATACAAAAGTGTCAGGCGACAGAAGACGACCGCAAAGTTCGTGGTTTTGATCCACTGGCTATGCGCAACCAAATGCCACAAATTCTCCACTCATAAATGACAAGAGGCATTACAAGGGAGAGAGAGACAGAGAGTAGGGTCGTTTCAATGGAGCTGCAAACGACGTCCTTCCTATCTGCAACTCCGTCGTCATGCAGGACACGTTGTCGTTGGTCTTCAGCTTAGTTCTATTATTAGTCGATGATCTTTGTTGGTAATCATTGTAGAAACTGGCTCAAGATTCACGGTCTTGGAGTTCCACGTCGCCTTCTCTAGATTGAGTTACGGTGGAGAGTTCCACGGAGAAATGGCTTCATCTTCTTCACCATTCTGTTGTAGAAGGCACATGACATACACAGGCAGAAAGCAAATACATCCGGCTAAGCTTCACTGAATCCGCTTGATTGTTTCTTAAGCTTGTGGATATATATATATGAGATCTTAAACTGCCTACATCAACTATAAGAACTCGGCCAGGCTGGTCCTCAGCGTCTGGTTGGCGAAGATACGATTCAAGCTCTCGGACGGATGAACTGAATCCCAGAACACAAACTTGTTTGGGTCTTCACACGTGAAATGGCTCCATTCGTTGCAGAAGTAGCCCATCTCCATTCTTCCCGTCCCGCAGCAACCTCGAATCGCGTTCTCGAACCCTGCAACACTTTGCTTGTTTTTACCTGCAGGTCTCCTCCAGCAGATAAGAAAGAAACATGTCGGAGACTCACCATATGAGGATGGATTCTGTACGACGTGGAGGAACAAGTCATACGTGGGAGAAAATCTCAGCTTGAGCCCCGGGGACGAAGCGCACAGCCTCTCTATCAACGCCTGTAGCTTCATGTTGAAGTCAATGGCCACCTTGTTGTACTGCTCCATGCACTCACCGTGGCCGAGGAAGTTGGTGGCCCGCTCCGACGGTAGGCACCCGAAGGGGCTGAGCCCTGTGAAGGAGATCTTGCGAGCCCCCTGCCGGTGGAGCTTGGTGAGGAAGCGGGCGGCGAGGCCGATGAGGAAGTCTTCATACTCCTCCACCGTGAACTGCTTTCTCCGGCTGCTCGTCGGCGAGTAGTAGTTCTCGATGAAGTCGTTGGTCCCTACGCTGACGATGTACACGGCCTCGTGGATGATGTGCATGGCCTTCTTCCTCCCCACGTAGTGCGTCAGCCGCTTCTTGTACTCCTTGAAGTACTCCATCTCTTGCCACAGAGGTATCACAGACTGCGCATGAGCATCCACAGTTAGGGCGTCGTAAGTAGAGGTTGACGGTGGGGTGTGGAGGAAAGACTCGTCGATGTGTCGTGTCGTATTGGGTTGACAGCAGATGTGACTCGTAATATTCATTCAATTCAACGACCAACTTGCTCATGCCACGACTCCGGGGATGACTTAAGTCACGACCGCACGCGACGAGAGTCACGCCGTCGGTCGCGACGCGATTTAGATCGCGCACCGTAGGCGCTGTGGCGGGCTAAAAGCCACGAAACTACGTAGCTAAATTGTCGGGCGCGGTGTCCTAAGAAGGCCATGGAGGACGGACTCACTAGCACGTCGGAGGTGGCGGTGTCGAGCCCGGTGGCGGCCGATGCGAAGCACACGCCTGTGGCGAAGTCCTTGATGGAGTAGGCCGGGTCGAGGTAGGCGGGGACGGTGGGCGGGAGGCCGAGGGACTCCGAGACGAAGTCGGTCGCGAGGCGGCCGTTGCAGAAGCGGCCGGTGGCGCGGCCGCCTGGGAAGTCGCGTCCGTAGGGAGGAAAGTTGGCTCTGGCGATGGTCCGGACGTAGTTGTTGTTGCCAGCATCGACGGTGGAGTCACCGAAGACGATGATGGCCGGAATGCGTGAGGGAGCGGCGAGGGAGGGGAAGAAGAGAAGGAAGAGGAGGAGGCTGAGGACCATCGTTCGGTGGTACAATAGCAACTAGAGGCGTGAAGAGTGGGGGATTGCTGGTCTTTAAATAAGTGGGATACATTAGTCGAAGGACGTGAAGATACTTCATTTTGGTGCAGTAAATTGGCATTCTAGAGAGACATTGTCGTGTGTTTTCTGATACTTCCACCGCCGAAACAAAGATGGGATTTACATGGCACCAACTTGTGATGTCTCAGTAATTGCTACAATCAAAGGCGACATTTTTTGGTCCGTTGTTGTCAACTTCTGCTTCAGAATGATTCAGTCTGCCTCCACAATAATTCATTTGAAAGGTTTTATTGTTGGTTGGTCACTTAATTTCCTACTCTCTCTCTCTCTCTCTCTCTCCCTCCCTCCCTCCCTCAGAGAGAGAGAGAGAGAGAGAGAAATGAGTCGTACGACTACTGCATGGGCTGCTGAAAATTAACTTCAGCGGCAAAGAGGTTATGCAGTCAACAGTAAATAGTACAACCACAGTCATACGTAGACAGCCTTTTCAATCGACCTATTGGATTTGTCCCACCATTCATGTCTTGCTCTGCAAGTAGATGCAGTTCCATTACTTTTTCTATTTCTCCACCTGTGTCCGTCTTGTTTTCTCCTCTTCGCAATCAATTGCAAATCCCATCGTAATCATCATAATCATCTTCGCACACACGCACACACACATTCTTATACGTGACTTGTTGTAGTATATTTCAACCTTCAAGTATCGTTAATTTTATACATTATTATTATATTTAGGATCAAGTTTCATCACTTACAATCATCACTGTCGCAAGGAGAGAGTTGTAGATCTTAAATGAGAGTTCATCACTTACAATCATAAGCGTTTTCTACTTCTAGGATTTCATAACTACAGTAGCCACCAATTTGTGATATAGCTTTTTAAGGTATGTCTCCATTTCTATAAAAATATTTATTAGAAATTTTTAATTTTTTGATTTATTATATAGTTACAGTTTTAGATTTAGATTGATGTTTATCATTCTAAATAGTGTTATGAAAACTTATTATTTTACTATCAATATTTTAAGTATTCTTTATAAAAATAAAATCCTTATCCAGAACAATATGTTATTTTCACATTGTTTATTTTGTTTCTAACAAGTTGTAATTCATCCATATAATGTTTTTTTCACATTTGAACTTATAAACAGACCCACAATATATGTAGAAAACTTGGTCTAGAGAAAATTTTTCATAATAGGTGATGCACTATTATTAAGGAAAATTCAAGAATAGTGCATTGCATAGATGCACTAGTCAAAATGATCTTAATTTTTTTTTTAAATTTTAAATAAGACACTTATGGAATATGTCACTAGTTTTCTATTTTAGAGAATTTTTTATTATTTTTATGAAAGTTTGAACATTTGAATAATATTTTATTTTATATTTTTTAATTCCACATAGAACACTTATATCAATCAATCCTATTTAATTGGGTAAGCCTAGAATTGGGCTACCCAAATACTCATAAATTTGAACCGACTATTCACCCAAGTCTATCAAAATTAAAATTGATCAAAATAAAAAATTAATTATAATTTGACTTTCATCGAATTTGTTTAAAACTTGATTGATCGAATCTACATCTAGCCAAGCAATCAAAATATAATAATAATCAAGTTCAATCAAAATTTATTTTATTTTTATTTTCTTCTTGTTTTTGTCTATTTCTTAAAAATTATAAGGCATCTATATATTATTTTTTCACATTTGAGATTCAAATAGGTCAACAATATATGTAAAAGAATTTGATAAAAATATTCTTAATAGGTAATGCATTGTTATCGAGGAAAATTCAAAAACATTGCAACACATAAATAAATTATTTAAAATGATCTTAATTTTTTAGAAAATATTTAGATATGGCATTTATAGATATATGTTACTGGTTTTTTATTTTAAAAATTATTTTTAATATTTTTATATTTTTTAGCATCTAAATAATTTTTCTTTTTAAATTATTTTTATATTTTAATAAATTATAATTCATCCATGCAATATTTTTTCATAATTGAGCTTTTAAATAGGTCAACAATATATGAGTAAAAAATTTAGTTGAGAAAAAATTTCTACTAAATGATGCATCATTTTTTAGAAAAATTAAAAAATTAGTGCATCACATACATACACTGTTCAAAATGATCTGAAATTTTTAGGAAAACTTTGAATATAACACTTATGGGCATATAACACTGGGTTTTTGTTTTAGGGATTTTTTAGTATTTTATGGATTTTTAATAGTGTGTCAATTTTAATTTTCTCCTTATTTTTTCTAGTCAGATAATTTTTCATTGAATTATTAAATTTAATCCCTTTTGACTTTAAACAAAAAGTAATCATGTCATTAAATACTTATTATATGTGTAGAATATCCTAAGATAGTTGCAAGAATGTTGATTTAAGTATAGGTATGCTTTTATTTATATAAATTTTTAAATTTCATCTTTGTAATTCCATTTGTTGGTACTGAGGGGTTGAAAAGTCATCTTAGTTGGATAATTTCAAAATGAAGTTTTGTGGATCATTGTCTTCGTTTTCTTATGGAGTCTATTAAGAAAAATTGGTCTCATTATCATCAAGTAATGTCACTTCAATATTATAAAAAATATTATATTTGATCATTTTTTTAGATATCCCTAATATTCACATATCTCACAGATTAACATTGTCAATTATAGAACGATGATCTAAGAATAATAATTTTATAGTGAATGGGGTGAAATTATCTTTTTCTATGTCTAATGTATCTCTTTCTACCAAATAGATTTGAAGGCATATAGATTTGAAAAGTATCTTATACATAAATATTTTTTTATTTGAAGAACCAACCCATAGAAATTTGAAAAGGTTAATAATAAATTTGCGGAATTAATGATAGACTTTTATTGAATATATGTATTATATATTTTTGCCTATACATTATTCTATCAAAGCAACTATAGATTATAGTAGTCTTTAGTATCAAACATTGCTGATTTAAAATTTTTGAATAAGTATAATTGGTCTATAATAATTTATTTATTTATTTCTGAGATGATTCTAATAATGGGAGAAAGATTAAGGAGATTTAAGAGAAACGAGATTCCAATTATCGATTATTTGAAAGGTTGTCTGCCCATAACTTATGTGTAGGTATATAGTTTATAAATTCTTATACCTATTTTTTATATAATATGATTTGGTCCAAACATATATTTGATATTTGATATGGGTGATTCTATGAGCACGTCATATGCTTTAAATCATCAAATAAATTAGAATTTTCAAGATTGTGAAAATGATCTATTCCTACCTTACATTGAAAAATAATAAATAAAATGATATTAACAATATCATCTAATAAAGTAAGCACCTTGTTTTCGAATCAAATTTAGATTTATTATTGTAGCTTCTTTTGAAAAACTATCTTAATGATTGTATTTCATTATTTATAAATTATTAAAGAGTTAAATCTTTTATCATGAGAGATATGATTATATTCTTATAAGGCACCAAATGTTGAGATATCTGCTAAGATACCAGATGTTGAGGTACCAATATGTTTCTTTCACAAGCCATAATAAATTTATTTCTTATTAGGTAAGCAACTCAAACCTTTGATACATGTATGAATGATGTTAAAGAATAACCAAAGTCACGTGAACCTCAACAATCTAAATGCGAAAGCTACAAAAAATTATCTTGAGACACTTATGAGTTTAGTGGTATTAGTGCAAGAAAATGATTTGGCTAATGTAGCTTATAAAATGGTGCCAAGCAACTTGAAAAACATTTGCATCGATGATAAAAATATATAGTTCATAAGCCTATCCTAGCAAAATAGTATATATGTAGTTCCTATGAAATAAAAAGTCATATGAAAAAGAAAGACAAAGACAAAAACAAAAAAGTAGACCCAAAAGGATATGTGAATATTCTCCGTGCTAAAAACCCAAGTCAAAGCTAAAATTAGAAGAAGGAGATTGGTTAAAGAAAAAGATAGTCGTCATATTAAAAAGATTCTTAATAATTTGTATAAGATACAAAAGATACTACGGTGCAAATGTATAGTTAGAGTAAAGAGGAAGTACGACGGTTTAATCTTATAGAGTATTGAGAAAGATAAAGTTATTTCTGTTAGGAACGAGTCGACTCTAAGAGGGGGGAGGTGAATTAGTACAGCGGTAAAAACATCAACTTCGTAAAATCTTTCATTCAATAAAATCGATTTCGGAAAGATGATAACTTAAAATACGTTAGTAAAGATGTGTAGTTAGAGTAAAGAAGAAGTATGACGGTTTGCAATAAATGTAAATAGCAAAACAGAAATGCAAGATTTTATAATGGTTCGATTGTTGTGACCTACCTCCACTCCCGATTCTTCTTCCGTCGAGGCCATCGGCATCCATTAACGGTATTCCTTTAATGGGCGAAGACCAACTACCTTTTTACACCCCTCTTCTCATTTTCATAAATTTAGGAAACAATCTTTTATAACCCTCTTTTACAATGTATCACTCTCAGACCTTCCTTAGAACTCTCTTTAAGCTTTGGGAAGAGGGAACTCAACTTTCTAAGGTTTACAGCTTTAGAATCATAAAGTTCTGCTCAATATTTCTTGCTTCTCTATGCAGGAATAGTTGGGGTATTTATAGACCTCAAATAACTTCAAAACTTGGAGTCAAAATTTAAATCTCTTATATTTCAGGATACGGGCGGTACCACTGCCTGTAGCCTGACACTGGGCAGTACCACCGCCCAGTCTAACGTTACTATCACTTGGGAGATTGTGTCTGGGTGGTACCACCGCTTAAATTGGCGATACCACTACCTAATAACCTCGGAGACTAAGTTTTTCGAGTTTCTCAACTCACAAACAGTTCTACCGCCAATTCTAGCGGTTCCACCGCTTGGCCCAACATTTGGGTCATTGAATGAGCCTCAATTAGTCCTAATTGGCTTCTAATTTAGTTGACATTATTTTACCCTAATATCGCCTCAATTAGTCCTAA